TGTAATCCCACCCTCATTTTCTTCCCAATTTCCTCCCAGTTTCTCATGTAATCCCACCCTCATTTTCTTCCCAATTTCCTCCCAATTTCTCATGTAATACCACCCTCATTTTCTTCCCAATTTCCTCCCGATTTCTCATGTAATCCCACCCTCATTTTCTTCCCAATTTCCTCCCAATTTCTCATGTAATCCTACCCTCATTTTCTTCCCAATTTCCTCCCGATTTCTCATGTAATCCCACCCTCATTTTCTTCCCAATTTCCTCCCAGTTTCTCATGTAATCCCAGCCTCATTCCACACCAAACCATTCCCTGGAAGGGACGTTGGGGACCCAGGGACAGCCCGGGCTGTGGGGGGCACCTTCCACCACCTCAGGGTGCTCCAAACCGGCCATGGACACTTCCAGATTCTCAGGCTGAGGCCTCACTGTCCTCGCAAGGAACAATTTCATCCCAATTTCCCACCTAAACCTGCCCTCATTCCACACCAAACCATTCCCACTATTTTATTCCTAGTCCCCAGTGCCTCTCCTGGAGCCTCTTCAGGCTCTGAGCTCTCCCCCTCCTCCTGCACCCCTTAAACTTTCCCAAATCCTCTCCAAAGCCTCGCTGCCCTCACAAGGAACAATTTCCTCCCAATTTCCCCCCGTTTCCTTTGAATATTCCATCTGAACCTGACCTTGTCCACACCAGACCTTTCCCACTGTGTTATTCCTTGTCCCAATCCCTCTCCCAAAGCTCTTTTAGGCCCTGGAAGGGCTCTGAGCTCTCCCTGTCCTCATACACCCCCTCAGCTTTGCCAAATCCACCCTCAAAAGGAACAATTTCCTCCCAGTTTCCCTCCTAATCCTGACTTTACCCAGCCCAAACCTGTTCCCTGTCTCCTGTCCCTCCATCCCGTGTCCCAAATCCCTCTGAGCTCTCCCCATTTCAAATAAAAACATTGAAGAGAAGAGGGTGTAAAGGAAAAAAAAATTAAAACAAAAGCATTTAAAAGAAAAGAATTGCTAAAAGTGAGCAGTGTGGCTTCCTAAATATCCTTTCAAAACCGGGGATTGGCCCCTTTCAAAGCGGTGCTGGAGAACTCCCCTGGGTGCTGTGAGCATCAAACCAAAACACCGAATGTTTTCTCCTTGTTTTGCAGGAAGCAGGCTCGGGTTTCCCGGGGCAGCTGCACTGCCGACTCCAATTATCCCATTAATTAGCCCCAAATTCCCAGCAGAGCCGAGCTCTGCTCACAAGCGGCCCCGAGATCCCCTGGGAAGCTCGGGCTGGGTTGGAGAGGTTGGAGCAGCAGCAGCGGAGCCGGAGCTGCTCCTGCTCCGCTCCCGGGATGAGCTGGATCCAGGGATTGTAGGGAACGAGCGCCCGGGGCCTGTGGGGCCTGTGGGGTCTGTGGGGCCTGTGGGGTCATCTGTGAGTGCCCCAGTCCTGTGGGGTCATCTCTGAGTGCCCAGGGCCTGTGGGGTCATCTGTGTGTGCCCCAGTCCTGTGGGGTCATCTGTGTGTGCCCCAGTCCTGTGGGGTCATCTGTGTGTGCCCCGATCCCATGGGGTCATCTGTGAGTGCCCCGATCCTGTGGGGTCATCTGTGTGTGCCCCAGTCCTGTGGGGTCATTCTGAGTGCCCAGTCCTGTGGGGTCATCTCTGAGTGCCCAGTCCTGTGGGGTCATCTCTGAGTGCCCAGTCCTGTGGGGTCATCTCTGAGTGCCCCAGTCCTGTGGGGTCATCTCTGAGTGCCCCAGTCCTGTGGGGTCATTCTGAGTGCCCCAGTCCTGTGGGGCTTGTGAGGTCATCTGTGAGTGCCCCAGTCCTGTGGGGTCATTCTGAGTGCCCCGATCCTGTGGGGTCATCTGTGAGTGCCCCAGTCCTGTGGGGTCATCTGTGTGTGCCCCAGTCCTGTGGGGTCATCTCTGAGTGCCCCGATCCTGTGGGGTCATCTGTGTGTGCCCCGATCCTGTGGGGTCATCTCTGAGTGCCCCGGTCCTGTGGGGTCATCTGTGAGTGCCCCGGTCCTGTGGGGTCATCTGTGAGTGCCCAGGGTCTGTGGGGTCATTCTGAGTGCCCCAGTCCTGTGGGGTCATTCTGAGTGCCCCGGTCCTGTGGGGGCCTGGGGTGGCTTGGGCAGGACATTCCCACAGAACGCTCCTCAAGAACATTCCCAGAGAATGTTCCCAGAGAACTCCTAGAGAATGTTCCTAGAGAACATTGCCATGGAACGTTCCCAGAGAACGTTCCTAGAAAACATTCCCACAGAATGTCCTCACAGAACATTCCCAGAGAACATTCCCACAGAACGTTCCAGAGAATGTTCCTAGGGAACACACCCAGAGAACGCTCCCAGTGAATGTTCTTAGAGGACATTCCCACAGAATGTTCCTAGAGAATGTTCTCAGAGAGCATTCCCAGAGAACATTCCCACAGACTGTCCTCAAAGAACATTCCCAGAGAACATTCCTGGAGAACATTCCCACAGACTGTCCTCACAGAACATTCCCAGAGAACATTCCTGGAGAACATTCCCACAGAATGTCCTCACAGAACATTCCCAGAGAACATTCCCACAGAACGTCCTCACAGAACATTCCCAGAGAACATTCCCAGAGAACATTCCCACACACTGTCCTCACAGAACATTCCCACAGAACATTCCTGGAGAACATTCCCAAAGAATGTTCCCATTTGGTGATAATCCCAAATATTCCCAACCCCATCAACCCCACAGAACATTCCCATTGGAGAATAATCCCAAATATTCTCCATCCTCCGGGAAATCCCGTAATTCTGATCCAAGGTCCCAGATCTCTTTCCCAGCAGCTCCATAAAGGGATTTATTTCCTCCAGCTCATCCTCCTTTGGATCATCTCCTTTGGAGAAACCTCAAAAGCTTTGGGAAAAACCTCAACATGTTTTGAAAAATCCTCAAAAGCTTTGGAAAAACCTCAAAACCTTTGGGAAAAACCTCAAAATCTTTGGGAAAAACCTAAATGTTTGGAAAAAAATTAAATATTTCATATTTGTTCTGGTTCTCTCTCCACAGAGGCCCTCAGCTGTGTTTGCCAGGGCACGAGGGACAGGGGAGATGATCCCAAACCTCGGGAAGCGCCGAGGAATCCCAGGATGGAATCGGGATCCCGTTAATCAGCCCCGGGGGATTTGTTCCCTGTTCCATCCCCAGCAAGCACAGGAAATCAGAGCCCTTAAGCTGAGCTTAATTCCTGGTTCTGATCAAAACCCAGATCAATCAAATGATTGCTCGGGGAAATAAATAAATCAAAGAATGATTGTGCAGGGAAATAAATAAATCAAAGAATGATTGCTTGGGGAAATAAATAAATCAAAGAATGATTGCTCAGGGCCTTTAATTCAGCTTTTAAAACAGCCTGGGCCCAGCACAGCATTGTGAAAATCCAGCTTCAAAATTGACCTTAAAACCTCAGACTCGGTTTAAAAACCCTTCCTTAGACTCAGAATTTTGAGAAGCCAATTTAAAAACCAATCCTAGAGACCTTGGGCTCAGAATTTTGAGAACTCAAGTTAAAGCCTTGGGCTCAGCACAGGATTTTGAGAACCCAGTGTAAAAACTGGGATCAACAAGGCAGAATTTTGAGACTCCGGCTCAAACCCCTGGATTCAGCAGAGTTTAAAACCGATTTAAACCTTGATTTAAAGCTTGATTTAAAGCTTGATTTAAACCTTGATTTAAACCGTGATTTAAAGCTTGATTTAAACCATGATTTAAACCGTGATTTAAAGCTTGATTTAAAGCTTGATTTAAACCTTGGCCGATGCTGGCTCCGCGTCCCCTCCCTGGCAGGAATTCAGGAATTCCGGCCGTTCCTGCCCTTTCCTCCTGCCACTCCTCCCGGCAGGACAAAGGGGACTGAAAAAAAAGAGGAAAAAAGGAGAACAAAATTAAATAAATAAAAAGAACAAAGGCTTTCATCTGCAGAGCAGGAAGAGCTCACAGCTAAAGCCCGGGGCTGCCAGGAGCCGGGCTGAGCTCAGGATTGTTCTCAGCCCATCCCGGGGCTTTTGGGCCAACCTTTCCCGGGTTTTCTTTGTCCTGGAGCACCTGGGTGCAGCAAAAATTCAAATTTAGTCCCAGATTTGTTTCCAGGCCA